AGCTTGAGATTCCGACTCCTGGCAACGCCGCCTACTTTGTCGGACTCGGCACCTGCGGCGTCATACTTCCCTGCCCGCACCCAACGGACTGGCGCCGGCCTGAGCCAAAGCCGGCGACGCCACCCAGCCTGCCAGTCTGCGAGTCCTCCATCACGCACGCCTGCCTGCGTTCATCTTCGACATGATTGTGAACGTACCTGGACGGATCCCAATAAGCTCTAGACGAGCATCTCCCGGACGGCTGAGGTCTTACTCGGATGAACCACCTATAGTTGAGGCTGACGACCGCTGTCTTTAGCCCGACTGCCTGCTTATAGTGGACCAAAGCCAGGCCATCGCTCGGTCGCGATGCCCCACGTCCAGCCGTCTGACACCGGCCTCCATCCGGTACCTGACATAAACTTGGCCGGCCCAGGCCTGGCCTATTCTGTCCCGGCTGATTCCTCCCAGCTTGTCGCAAGCAGTCGCAATGCTCTGGCGATAATGTAAGGTTTTTGTCGGCCAAATTGAGATGGCTCAGATGTTGCTGAATGGGGTCGCTTGTTCACGCCATGACCATTGTGACCTCTGAGGAATACGCCGGCGTTGTGGGTTCAGGTTTGTTCGGGTTTACGGGGTCGACACGAGACTGTGATGCATGCGCCTGTAACAAAGTCGCGAGGCACCGCGTAATGGCTCCCGACAGTGTAGCGACAACGTTTTATCACATAAATGGGCTGGTAACTGACAGCAAGACTGCCAAGCCATTCCATATCTGCCCAGCCAATGATTTATGGGGGGCGCTTTTTCTCAATCATGTTCACTGGTCCTTTCTACTACCCTGAACCTTATGTACACGCACTGGATGGTATTCTGAATCTGTTGCACGTCGCTAGATTCGGGCTTGCGCAGAATTAGTGTCGTTCGAACCAAGGCTCCCATGTACAATGATGCTTGCTAATCAGGTCCCGTGGTGATCATCTGTCCATATGGCCTATGCCACTGTCCCAGTTTAAAGTGATATGGTCACGACCGCCCTGGGTATCAGCATCATCGTAGGACTGAACCTCCCATCATTGTGAAGTGCCGGTTCCGACTGTAGTGTGGTCATCTTGACAGGCTTCACTTTGCGCGCCCCCATCGTGCTGACCACCCGCGCCGCGATTTTAGAACGACGAGCCTTACGCTTTCGTGTATGTCTTGTTCCAGGTGCGGCAATTGGCAAGCCTGATGGATGGAACGCCATTTACCGAGATGCCCGACGGGCGTGTGGGTTGATGAACGGATGGATGGGGGGAGAGGCTTTCGGAAGAAGGAATATGGACATGCAACAGAGCTGACCATGGCACAAGCAATAGCGAGACAAGCATCGCCCATTCCTCCAAAAAGCACAACGTGCAGTGTGTTGGCGGTGTTCCCGAGAACCCCCCCCCTCTTCCCCCCAAGTCTTTGGGTCACACAACCACACCTTCAGACGGACAGCCCCAATCAACCCCTGACGTGGCTACGCCCCCGTGATGCAGGCTCCGTCTCAAACAAAGGGCTCTCTGTCGAGAGAAGAAGAGGTGGCGAGAGGCTTCGGTGGTGGTGGTGGTGGCAGAAGAAGGAGAAGGGGGCCCAGTCACCGAGGATGAAAGGTCGTGCTGATGTTGGCTTCAGAAAGGTGGTCCGCAGTGTCGGCCCAGCTGAGGTGTTTCTGAAACGAGCTACCCGTCCTTCAGTCGGTCAGTCGCTTGCATCTTCGTTCGCTCGTTCGTTCGCCCGCTGCATACATGTATTCCAACAAGGCCGGGGGTTCGGAGGGTGGGCGTGCTGTCATGCTGGCGATGCGCCGCGGGCTGCGTCGACAAGGGGGTGTGAGGGGCACACGTCTAGCGGCGTGCCACTGCCGCTGGCTGGACGGGTCGGGGGATTTCTGCTGAGGTGAGGGTGACTGAGCCAAGGCCTGCGAAGGTCAGTCGGGTTGGTACGCTGCGTGGGTATGGGGCGTTTTCGCTGGTCTCCGGCAGGCCGCTGCGGGAAAAAAAGACGCCCCTGCTTGAAGCTTCCCGACGGCTGTCAGCATCCTCTCTCCTGATGGGGCAGGCAAATGCTGAGGGGCGTTGCGTCTGAGCAATGGGAGCTGGGTTTTGTGGTTGCCAGTCGTACTGTCGATCTAGCCAGGGGCGAGTCTGTCCATGATGGTGGACGGGGCTCCGCAGCCAAGCCGCAGGGAGCTACCAGTAGCATGATTACCCCGCGGCACCTTTTATCAGATAAGACAACACTCCGAGGGGCAAACGGGTACGTCCCTGACTTTCAGGGGCTTTCTTTTGGCCGGTAGGGCCGTCATCCACACATGAAAACAACCTCTTCGTAAAGAGCACCTTGGATGAGAAACATGTGATTCCTTGATCTGTTGACGACAGGTTGCGGTGAATCCAGTCGAGCTGTGCGAGCTGTGCGAGCATGTGTCGAGACACGATGCTCATCTTGATTGGTCTCTGACGCACCGGTGAGGAGTAATAAAGGCTGTGATATGTGGTTTCTGACTCTGCGAGCAAGTCGCCAAGAAAATGGGTGAGGCGGCCTTGGAGAGGCGTGGTCACATGGCCTTTCGAACATGAGTGAGCACGTTGGCTGCAGGGTGCCTTCCCATCAGGCTGGCCGCGTATCCGACTGCCTGGAGTCTCATCTCCGGGCATAGCATTCGAGCTGCAGTGGCCTGTGGACGACGTGGTTATTGGATACACTGCTTAAGTTTCATGGCGCTGATTTGCGGGTGGTTTCTGGAACCGGAAACGCACATGCATTCTGGTCAGGGCTCTACGGCGCCACTGATTTGTTGATTCCACGTTCGAAATCGCCTCATCGGTGAGCATCAACATGTTGCGGATAAGGCTGCGAAATGGCTACTGTAGGTTCATGTAAGGCAAAAGACGCTGTTGTCGTCTTGGTATCCAAGTGCATCAAGGCTTGAGCTTCATGGAGCTTCATGCATCATGTACGAAGCGTACTAGTGAATTGCTTCCCAGGTACGGTGAAGTCTGCTGTCGTGATCGACAATTTGGTATCATCGTCTGGCCGCCTCGCAATCTACCAGGTGTTGTCGCGTGTGCCTTTACTCGTCACTACTTCAAAAGTCTTCAACGATATCATGATACATCTATAGCTGTCTGCCAAGTCTATGGCTGATGCCGATGCTCCAAAACTGCAACAGGCGGTTTGGAAAGTTTCCGGTTGTTTTCATCTACAAATTTGGTGCTCAAAGAACGGACCACCATGTTCTCATGTCTCTCCACATGCTCTGTATGAACTCAGAGGCATGACCTACTGTTGACACCCTTGCATTAAGTCGATCCCCCCCGCAGCAAGCAGATTGCGCTCTTGTCGACTGCTCTCCACCATATCTCAAAGCCCTCACCAGACTACACATGGCAAAATGCAGAACCACGCTTCACGCGTTGCAAAGACGAAGCTCGACGTCGGTCTTGTAAGTGTCTGATTGAATCTACCAAACATGTGCTCAGTGCGAGGCCAAAATATATGCCTGAAAGATAGAGCATGTTTCATTTTCATTCTCCTTTGAACGCCTGTTCCAAACCTCGAATATCCATCTTCGTCATCTGCATCATAGCCTCCATGACACGGTCTGATTTCTCCTGGTCCGGATCCGCCAGCATCGTCTTCAGTACTTTGGGCACGACCTGCCACGCCAGCCCATACCTGTCTGCTATCCACCCGCACTGCTGTCTCGCGACATCGCCGCCTTCGCCGAGCTTTGTCCAGTAAAAATCGATTTCCTTCTGATCATCGCAGTCGACCATGAGCGAGATGGCCTCGTTGAACTTGAATTGCGGTCCGCCGTTGAGACCAGCGAACTTTTGCCCGTTCATCTCAAACTCGATAATGAGCAGGCTGCCGGGTGTCTGGCCATGGTGGACCTCGCCGGCGGAGGTGTAGTATTGTCGATGCGTGATCTTCGAATCTGGAAAGATGGAGACGTAGAACTGGGCGGCTTCTTCAGCGTTGCCGTCGAACCAGAGACACGTGGTGAACTTGGCGATGGGCATGACGCTTGTAGCTCAAGAGATGGATTCTGCTGGAAAGGTCAAGAGGTGAAAACAGCAGTAGAGGAAAGCTGCGATGGGGTGGGAGAGTGATGTGTGGTAGTCTTGATGGAGCCAGCACTCATATATCAACGACTCCACTATGCCCATTGATAAGGCAGAGGAGCAGTATTGGTATGATCTGAAAGTCTTGTCGTGATTCAGGCACACCGAACAAGCTGATTGACAGCTCATGAGTACATCGTTATGACGGACAGGCGTTAACATTGGACCTGGCTGGATTGCCTGCACGCTATTGATCGGACCCCGCACGCCTGCCTGGCGTGGCGCTCCAGCTGGACCATCAAGGCTTCTAGCCCGAGTATATTCACACGACGTTGTCCAAATTGGTTACTCTTTTGTCCGTCTCCTGATCGTTGAGTTGAGCCGACTTACATGAGTGTGGCGGCGGTGGAGGGGGTGGTGTGGATGCAGATCAGAAAGAGGCGTGGCCTGGTGTCTTGACGGAGGTGCATACACCAGCCGTCAACTGGGGCACATTGAGATCGAGGCGTCTCTCCAGATAGATAGAAGAAGCAGGGGCGGTCCAGCATCACAGACTGGTAAATGGTGGATTCCAGAGTTAGGGCGGCGCAGATGGCTTCGTCTTGGACCCCAGGCTGGCGGTAAAGCAAGTGTAGAGTAGTTGGCATCACACAGGTGAATAGTATTAACATGAATGAATAGTACATACGTGCGCGAAAGTGAATGGCGCTCCATGTTCTGGGACGGCCGTGTCCCGTCAAATCCCAGCACAGCCGCTCCAAGCTCCAACCCAGTGCAAAATGAATGGCCAAGTCGTAGAGTATCTAAGTGTAGTTAAAAAAAAGGGGGGGGAGATCTTTAACAGCCCAGGGTCTACACGTCCAACATGCTCTTTATTTTCTGCGGTGGTGCAGAAGAAGTCCCCGTGTTGGCACTGGGACTTCTCGCCGCGCCACCCGGCGAGGTTGTCACGTCTGTGGCGGCGTCGCCTTCTCCACGGCCCCGTTGCTGTCCCGCGTACGGCGGCGGCGCTGGTCCGTCCATCATCAGCTCTGCCCTCCTGGCAGCTTGTGCTTCACTAGCAGATTGTCCGCCTGCAGCGGGGAAGAGCAAGTCGGCGGCAGCGTTCCTAGCATGCTCCGTCCGTCGCCTGTCGGATTTGCCCATGTATGACGCGTCGGCGCTGGGTTTCTTCGACCCGTCGAGGAGGTTGACTTCCGACTGTCGACGGGCCGGGTTTGGCCCACCACCAGGTCCGCTTTTGGTCAGATCCCTCAGCTCCACCAGGCCGCGGTGACGTTCAGCATTGCGCATCTCCTTGATGCGTGCGTGCTTAACGCCGCGCGAAGTCGCACCACTGTCGGTGCCAGCTTGGTCATGGCGCATGGCGTTATTGCCACGGCGCCACCAGCTGGGCTTCTGGACGTAGCCCATCTCGCGATCGTACTCTTGGCCACGGGTCCGGCGCTGGCGAATGAGCTCCTTGTCTTCGTTCGGGGTGCGGAAGCCCCAAACAATCTGAACAACGAGAATGAGGAGAGCCGGTACATAGCCACCCACATAGACGGATGCGAGACTCGACTGGGCATTTAGTACAGAGTAGTCGAAAGTAAAGGCGCAAAAGGCCTGGAAACCGACGACAACGAGTGCCAAAGGTAGCAGTAGGCGGAAGCGGAGAGGGGTGTACTTGACGAGGCCAATCGTCTTGTTGATGATTCCGCGGTTGCGAGGTTTGTAGTGCTTGACGGAGTGGCGGAGGGAGACAACGATGATAATCCAGCAGAACAAGAGGAAGAGCGCGGCGATCTTGAAGCGGACGTCTGTCGCCGCGGGGCCAGCTTTGTCCTCGATCTGCTGAGGCGTGCGTTGGAGCTCGATCCTGCCCCAGTTGCGGGGAATGATCATGAAAAAGTTGAGCCAGATGAATAGGTAGAACACCAGAGGCATCCAGAACTCAAACTTGGCGCGCCTGTCGTCCTCTCGCAGCACAAAAGGATCAGGGTCGATGAATTGCCGCTCTTGCCAACTACCCCAGTGACGTGCCGCCTCCCAAACGAGCGCTAGCACGCCGTGTTGCATCAAGTACCAGAAGAAGCTGTTGAGAATGATCGGTAGGCCCATGACACGGAAGCGGTCCACGTCAACATTCGTGAAGAGACTGACGACGGCCATAGCAATGACCCAGATGCTCCAGTACCACTGCCATCGCCGGCCAATGGGTGTGAACCGCTTTTCGCCGGGCAAGTGCAGGGTGCCATGCTTCTTCAAGTTCATGAGCACGAGAACCAGGCAGAAGGCGAAGAGGACGGCGAAGACGATGCCGGCGATGGCGCGGTCACCTATGGGGTCGACGGGGTTGTAGCATGATGTCGAGTTGATGAAGCTGCCATTGGTCCAAACGTAGTCGGGTGTGTAGTCGCCGTCGGTCAGGATGCATCGGGATCCATTGGAAAGCGTGCCATTGCTGTATAGGGTAAAGTTGAAGTGCAGCAGAGTGGTGAGGTTGAAGTGGACGCCATTGATGACAGTGTCGCTGGCGTTGTTCCCGTCGGGGAACTCGAGGAGGTCGCGTACTTCGAGGAGATCCATGATGGTCGTTGGGCTGTCGTCGAAACGACCGGGGGGTTTTTCGACGGGTTAAGCCAAGGCAAGGCCAAGCCACAAGGTTCCGGTAGGTGGGATACTGGCTGTCCTGTATGTGACGGCTGCTTGCTGACGCTGACGGCTTGGTACGAGTCTTACAAAGGCTCGAAATGGAATGAGCGCTGTTGGAGGGCGCGCGATTGAAGACGCCGACGCGAGAAAGTCGGAGGATTAGGACATCGTAGGATAAGAAGGTGACAAGATTTACTGGTCGGAACAGGCGATCATTGTCAATGGAACGGAGTCGCCGGCACGAGAGATAAAAAATCGGGATTCGGTGAGGTTAGATGCCTGAGCCACTCGGAGCTTGGGGAGGTGATGGCAAAAAGTATGGGAATAACAAAAGCTAGTCAGGCCTACCGCCTCGCTTTCGCTCTCTCCATTTTTCTCCAGCGCATCCGGGCGATAAATGCCGAGCCCCACCGGACGCGGCGGATGCAGTAAAGCGATGTTTCAACCCCACTATGCCCGCATTTCGTCATGCCCATGCACGTGCCCAGCTCAAGCCATCCCTCTCATCCATCCACTGTGTGGCTCAGCCCTCTAAACAGGTACTCCAGCCACAACCCCACCATTGCCGTCTTGGTGTGTCTCTGACATGGGGGTCCAACTCGACACGAAGGCCATTGGGGAAGCTCTTTTGTGACCTCTGGCCCTCGAACAATATTTCCACAACGCAACTTCAGTGAGTTCAATGGGCAGGCCCAAGCTCCGAACTACACCACTCGCCCAGCATGACCTCACAGGACGAGGAAGATCCCTCTTATATCGACTATGAGGCCTTCCTGGCCCCCGACTTCAAGCCCTCAGCATTTGCCAACACGCTCGTGCTGTCCACCAACAACCCCAACGACACTCCCCTCGACCTGAGCACGCCCCTGTCCCGGGTCCTCTTCGACACGCAGGAGGTCGACTCCCACATCGATGTCTTGACGACCAAGTCTGCTATTCCACTTCTTGAACACACCGACAGTCAGACCAAGTCAAGCAAGCGCATTGTTTCCGAGCTCGACGCACAGATCAAGTCTCTGAACGACAGTTACAAGCAGCTTGAGAAGGACGTCATCAACAAGCATGCCGAGGCCGACGAGGTGCGCCAAGTCGCCATGCGCCTTTGGGAAACCCTGAGACTGGGACGCTCTGTCGGACGATGCTTGCAACTGGGACGCCAGCTTGAAGTCCAATACACAGAGATTGCCGGGTCGAGCATCAGTGCCGCTGCAGCTGCAGCTGGCAAGAGGGAGGACCACAGGGCATTAGTCCGCTGCGCACACACCATATTGTCTCTACGGGAGGTCTTCGACGCGACAGCTCCCGGCGAGGAGGGCCATGGTCTTCATCGTGTGGACGCGATCAAGAGTCTCCGTGAGAACACTGTCACCCCGCTGGAACGCTCCGTGAAAGAGACGGCTGAGCGCATTGTGCGTGACTTCTCTGTTCCAGACATGGCAACATTTGCCCAGAGCGAGGACATCAAATCCCGTACCGTCTCTGCCATGACTACGCTGTACCTACTGTCGCCCACGAGCCAGGCGCAGCCCAAGCCCGAAAAATGGACACCTGTTCTCCTTCTGCAGGCACTCGAGACGTACTTTCGAACCGCCCTCTCCAGCTCCATAGCATCTTTAGCGCGCGCCCTCAGTCAGCTGCCGAATCTCGACCGCACGCTTGCCGAGATTACCGCTCGTTGTCAGAACATCGTGGCGCTCGAATTGGTGCTGGAGAGTACGAGGCCGCCTGCGCATCCCCTTGTGCAAATCGAGGGCACCCAGGCCAAGGCGTCATCAAACTTGCTGCAGCCTCTTCTGGCGCATCTTGAAACCGGGAGCCTGCCATCGTACTTTTGGAGAACGATGGCGAGCAGTCTGGGAACTAGGGTCCAGGATATCATGAACCGCGGTGGCGTGTCGGCACGAACTCTCAAGACAAATAAGCAAGGCGTCGGAGAGGCCGTTCGAGAATGTGTCGTCAAGGGGTGCCGAGCGCCAAGCGCCATGAAGGGCAAGGGGGAGAAGGCTAGAGAAGGTAGTTGGGAGAGGGAGGTGGCCGTCATGGTAGGGAGCGTGGTGAATAACCTCGGAAGGTGATGCAAATTCTTCCTCAATAACAAGCCCGTCCTTCTGTTCTGCTGCACTCCATGACGAGGTACTTGGCCGTGACATGATGCATCTGGTGAAGTTCATATCGTGACTTGGGCGCATGGAAGACATGGAAGTACCTATAAAGGACCTTCTCCCTGTAAGAACTGGAAAAGCTTCAAAGAGAATAACATGCCTCCCTGAGTGGTACCAATCGCTGTGAATGTGGAGCTAGATGCCTGGGCACCAGTGATACAACTTGCGGAAACCACAACCCGTCATATCAAGACGCACCTTCCACCCTCCGCGGTCCGCAACTTTTAGAACGATACCTTGGTACTGCATCATTTCGGGATTTTTTTTTGGTCTCTGGCCGCGAGATCTGCGTCCTCTTCGACAGTGCCATTCTCCAATCCTCTTTCCACATCGTTTGGCCCTAATAAACTACTGTCGTGGGGACAACCTCACGGATTCGATGCACGATACCCCCATTCAGAGGCAACTGACTACGCTGTAACGACGCGTCGTGCGGGCACGTTGAAGACAAATCAACTCCTTGGTTAAAACGGTCCACGACTGAATGACCACGGCATGCTTTCCTACTTCGCGGCCTTTCATATTCCCAGCCAAGCCCCGACGACCTATTACCCAGGGGTTAACCATCACTTGGAAATCGCGTCATGGATGTTAAGGACACTGTTGATGGAAGCGAGCTTTCGTCTCCAGACGATGCTGATCGCTTCATGCTGAGCGACCATCGGTAAGACACTGATCGCCGAGTCCTTCAACCTTGACATCAGTCTGTTTCCATGTCCTGTCGCGATGCTTCCACAAGTCCCTTTATTGCAAGTCTTCTGCATCCTCACTGACTGGGTGCCTTTAGACTTCTGACCTCGGGTTTCTTCGCGGACTGTGAGATTGTCCTGGGCTGCAAGACTTGGAAGCTTCACAAATCGGTCATCTGCCTACGATCCAAATACTTCGAACGTGCCTTCATGGGCCACTGGCCTGTGAGTGTCTTTGACTCTGCCAAACCCGAACATGGTCTAATCCAGCCCAAGGAGGCCAAGAGCGGTAATATTACATTATCGACAGATCAGTTTACTGAGGAGCAAATCGAGTGGCTCATCAGTTTCGTCTATACTGGAGGTTCGTAATTCCCAATCTATATGCAGTGGCTGCGTGTTGGTTTGTACTGAGATTGCATAGTCTGTGAACTCGAGGAGCTCAAGTCTACAACTACGGTGTTACACACGGCTGCCCAACTCTTCGCTCTCGGCGACTACTTTCTCGTGCCTGGTCTCTGTGATTGTGCTATCGAAGCCGTTACCTGTCAGTGGGATCCACGCTTCCGACAAAATGTTGCCCGGAGGCGTCCGTGGCTTCGTATTCATGGTCCACTTCGCAGTTGGGTATACCCCTTTGACGGGGATGATTGGGCACGAGCCATGGCCTGCGTCTACAAACAGTGGGCTGACAGCGACGAAAACGAGTTCAAAAAGGCAATGATGCGGCTGTCCACGGAAAAGCTCAGCTGCAGGCATACCCTGATTCGCTCCCCTCATTTTCTGAGCTTCATTAACAAGGAGCCGCGATTTGCCAGGGATTTCATGAAGATCATGGTTCAGGACCGCGTGGCAAAACTGCAGTACTGAGCTTGGGCGTCGGCCGGGAGTCGGAAAGACTTGGAGTGATGTAGGCATCAGGATTTGTTTTGTGGCGAACACGAATCATCACAAGTGTTCTGAGTGCGTTACTGATCATCTCGGTTTCAAAGTTGTGACGATACAATGCCAAAAGTGCTTTGGCGATATGGGTGACATTCCATCATTGCAACTTGTTATTGCAAGTGTCTAGCTGCGTTGTGAGTTGTCAGTTGTTATGGTCAATATTCACCATCGTCAATCAGTCAACTTGTCCATCCTGCACTTCCTGTGGCGCCCTTGGGTTCATGCTGACTCCCAGCTGCCAAGGATATCATTCCCGGCGAGACTTGGCCATGATCGGCGGTGGAAGAAGTATGTCCCTGTTGCAGGCTTCAAAAGGATCAACGGATGTGCGATCAGGGGTTCCTTGCAGCGTCAGTCCATGCAAGGTGGCCGGGAGCCGGCCACACTATCTTCCTTCAGTGCACGGAGCGTCCAACGTTTTCGATTCGAGCAAGTATGGCGCTTCGACAGAGATAGCACTTTCGTCGCTGGGCGTTCATTTCATATGCAAATACATTAAGGTAGAGCAGGCAGAGTGCACGTCACTCGTGCCGGGACGAGACTCCGAAACCTGCAGCCGGACCACGTGAGGTGGCTGCATCCAAACTCAAAAGGGTATGCACAGGAAAACATCGCACAGCGAGGTTGGACCGAGCAGATTGGCCACTGGCAGCCCGCGACAGGCGCCATGTGCGGTCTTGGAAAGAGGAAAATGTGCTTGAGGAGGGGGATCATATCAGTTGGGTTTGTGATGTTGATAAATGGCTCATCGGGTTGGGCTGATATCTGATGCGGTGTTTCTGCGGTGGGATCCGAAGGTGTGATATGGTGTCGAGCAAAGTACAGCGCCGGAAGCAGAGAGCGAGATGCCCCTTTGGTCGTTTCATGATGACAATTCGAATGCGGACCTCGACGACTGAGCGGGCTGAGGGACATGATGGTCGCTGTCGACGAAACTCGGCGGTAGGACGGGCCTTCTCAGGCGTGGGAGCGGGCCGCGAGCTGAACCCGTTGACCACCAGATGGGTCATCTCCGATGGGCGGAGCCACATACTGTAGTGCAGTAGCTGGGTCTTGTTCATCCCATCTGGGCCATCTGGGGCACCACGATCGTGGGCTATTCTCGGGCTGTCCGCGGGGGTGGGTGGTGTTGTCGTCGGGCTGGGCCGGGGCCTCTTCTGGCTGCCATTCGTCCGCTGTTCTGTTCCTCTGTGAATCCCTTTCCTCTGCGAGAGTTCTTCACCGTCTTTTCATTGCCATGTTCTTGCCATGTCCCGCGGGCAAGACTGCTGCAGTACAGCAGGACAGCATGGCAACACCGGCGGTGGGCAGAGACGCAAAGCAGCTGGCCAGAACTGACGAGTGGGCGAGGAAAAGAGGGGTTGATGAGCTTGAATGCTTTTAGCGTGCTGTTAGCGCGTCAGTAGCGAGAACGGCGCCTGAAGCCCCAGTTGCAAAGGACCCGGAGCGAGGGGCCCAGCAGGGCAGGCGCCATGCCCACCCACTCATCCGACTGGCAACAGCGCTGACGTGGTGTGGTGGTCCGTGTGCCTGCCGCCGGCCGGTGCCACGGGCTCGTCTCGCTGGTCGCGTCCTAGCTTCTTTGACGTGCACATCACAGGCAGCTGCTGCCCTTGTTGTGGCCCGGTCATCGTCGTGCCTCCTTCTCTTTTTCCCTCAATACAACCTCATTGGATTGTTCAATTCACCATCCTGCCCTTGTTCCTTCCATTATACAGCTGCCTTTCCCTCTCCTTCCCTCGCTGGACTTTTCACCAACTCTTCGCCCGCGATCCCAATCCAGACGTAAGTACCACCCACTCAGCTCTCTGTGCTCCAGGCGGTGTTCTCAGTTGC